AGGGAGCAGGCGAGATCTGAAAACCTGGGGTTGGCCGGCGACCGGGTGGGAAGAGAGGACGGAGGGCATGATGGGAAGGGGGTGTGTGAGGGGACGGGCCAGGGGAGGCGTCAGGGAACCCCCACCCCGCCAGGCCTGAAAACTAAGTGTGGGGGTAGGGGAGGGAAGCAAGGGGAGCAATGTCGGTAGGAATGACCGGTGGGGTGAGTGGGGGGTGTCTGGGGGGGGGGAGAAGAAGCAGGGGTCAGAGGCCAGGGGTGAGCGCCTCCTATCCCGTGGCCTGGGCAGCGGCAGTTCTCACCCGGGTCCGGCGGGCCGGGATCCAGTTCTACCACTTCGATAATCTCTTCATCACCATGAAAGCTTAGGGTCTCCAACGGAGGGGTGTCAGCGGCGGCCCCGCTTTCCGATTCGGACTCCATGCGGCGCAAGCAGCCGAACCACTTCTCTGGGCCCAAACGCCTCCCAGAGTCAGCTCTGCGCGACGACGCGGAACTCGAGCCCCTCCTCCCAGGAGGAAGTAGGAGTCGGCGACTCCCGGCAGAAAGAGCGACGACCGTCCCTCCAATGGAAATTGTGGTGAATTAGCGAAACCACCAATCACAGGGCAGAGCTGGGAGACGGGGCAGGGGTGTGGCGGGAGAGCCCAAGCTCCGCCCAACCTGACCCCGCCCCCAACAGGAGGGAAACAAGCGAGCGTGCGCGCCTCTGGGGTCTCCTGGGAAGAGTAGTTCTCTTGGGTCTTCCCGCGGGCTTCTGGGAAGTGTAGTGTTTGGTCTGTGGGCAGGACGGAAGGAGCGGGGGAGGCCCCTTACGCAAACTACAATTCCCGGCGGGGAGCGCGGTGAAGGGGGGTGGGATCTGAACATGGCGGCGGTGGTAGCTGCTACGGCACTGAAGGGCCGGGGGGCAAGAAATGCCCGCGTCCTCAGGGGTAAGGAGTGGGACCCCGGGGCGAGGGCAGGACTATAGGAGATTGCTTTGCTTTCATATTCCTCCCAGAGATTGCAAGGGGTCAAGACCGCCAGTTCCTGCCCACCCCTCTCTGCGGGGTCTTAGAGTCTGGGGGTGGAAAGATGCTCTGTAGAGGTCACCCAGTCGGTCCCCCTGCGTTCGGGGGACACGACAGCTCTGGGGTCTTGCTGCGAATGGAAGCCTCTAGACTCCCGCGCTCCAGGTGTTTCACACTCACCGCAGTGCAGAGGAAAGAGCCCTGTGCTTCTGGAGCCCTGGGTGCTAGCCTTGGGTAATTAGCAGTTTGACCTTGGGCGAAGCAGTTCGTCTCTCTGGGCTTCAGTTTCCTCTTCTCTAGAACGGGGGGCTGGAGTAGACTATCTGTAAGCTCCCTTCCAGTGCTAATGTCCTGCAGTTTAAAAACAAACCACCTTTCTCCGGATTTCCTTCATACGTCTTCTGTGAGTCCCTCTGCAGTCCTTCCCATCCTGTCGTCTGAAATGAAGAATAGCGAAGCTGCCTCTCCTGGCACCAGGGTGATGAGTGCGCAGTGACGTGGAAGTGGCTTCTAAAGGTGTCACCTAGATGGCGATTTTTCACATTTCTCTTTTGGATTCTCCCTAGCACTTGTTACTCTAAACTGCAGTCATTTAGCATACTCAGATCTCAATTGCTCCTTCCCAGCCCTTGCCCACCCTATTCCTATTCACATCCCCCTACCATTGCTGGCTTTCTTCTCACCTCCCAAACTGACTTTCCTTACCTTCATCCACAGGGATCCTCTCGGGAGCTACTGCTAGCAAGGCTTCCCAAAACAGGACCAGAGCCCTGCAAAGCCACAGCTCATCAGAGTGCAAGGAGGAGCCTGAGCCCCTGTCACCTGAGCTGGAATACATTCCCAGAAAGAGGGCCAAGAACCCCATGAAAGCTGTGGGACTAGCCTGGTGAGTTTTAACTACTCTTTTATGTCCAGGGGAGGGGAGGGCAGAGCCTGGCAACCTGTATGCTTTAGGTGGTGAGCTGAATCTCTATGGTTGTGAAGACAGAATTGCTGGGTTCCCCAAATGGAATCTCCGAGGAGTGGGGCAGGGGAGGTAGGGAAGTATGTGGAATTGGGTTTTCTTTAGAGTAATCTGAGCTGATCTAAGATTTGGGTCCCTGGCATCATCCTCCATTTTGGGAGCTTAGGATGAGATCCAAGTACCAGTAATTAGATAATTGAAATCATGTAAGATGGATTATATTAATTGGATAGTAGCTACATATTGTTCTATATCTTATTTGACTCTGATTCTGACCCTAATACATACTGTTGATCAATATTTAAGGGAAAGGAGGGGAGAGTAATATTTTTCAGCACACCTGAGTGTAACAGTACTTTGCCATGAAATGTGTTAGGCTTTTGAAGATAATATTATGCTCTCATTCCAGGGAAGGGAACTAAGACTTAGGGCTGGGATTTCTCTCCAGGTGTTGAGACTCTGTGTTCTTTGTCCAACACCAAAGCACCCACTTAGTAGCAATTACTCAGGTTAAGAAAGGGAGGACTGGTGTTTGTAGTTCAATGATAGAGGATGTGTTTAGCATGCGTAAAATGCTATATTTACTCCGCAGGGGAGGAGGGGAGGGAGGGAGGAGGAAGAGAAGAGGAAGAGGAGGAGTTGAATGTAGGAAGGGATGTAGGGCAATTTAAGCATAGGAGAACTTTGGTCACACTCCAAAGGAAAACAGCTAGGCTGTTTAAAGACTCAGGCCAGGCCATTGGGGAAAAGGAGTAAACAGGTAGGCAGAGACTGGACCACACGGAGCTTTTTGTGCTATGCCTGGGAGCTTGGACTGACTAGAAAGGATGGAGAGTTGTTATGGAGTCTTAAGCAGGACAGCAGCAGTATCTATGTGGGTTCCTCTAGCAGCCAGCGTGGAGGACAAGTATACACAAAGAGATATCCTGCGTTTGGTAAAGCTGGATTAACTTCCCCCAACAACTCTGACTTAGGGTTTAGCTCCTGCCCAAATCCCGTGCACATCTCCCCACCCCTAGGGCCATCGGCTTCCCCTGTGGTATCCTCCTCTTCATCTTCACCAAGCGGGAAGTGGACAAGAACCGTTTGAAGCAAATGAAGGCTCGGCAGAACATGAGGGCGTCCAACACGGGCGAGTATGAGAGCCAGAGGTTCAGGGCCTCCCAATATTCCACAGCCCCTGAAGTTACATCTGGGGCTCAGGCCTGAGAAGCACTGCAACTCTCCCCTAGGCTATTTTGACTGTGAAGTCCTGGTTGGCCAACTCTGGTCATTGCTTTTGAGGTCCACCAGAGGGCGTGTGAAGCCCAGGCTATTGCCATCTCCTGCCTATCCCATAACAGAGGAGCCTGCTAAAGGCAAATAAAGTTTTGTTTTGTTTTTGTTTTGGTTGGTTGGTTTTGGGTTTTTGTTTTGTCGGTTATGGGGCTTGAACTCGGCTTGGGCGCTGTCCCTCAGCTCTTCAGCTCAAGGCCAGTGCTCTACCGCTTGAGTCACAGTGCCACTTCCGGTTTTCTAGTGGGTTTTATTGGAGATAAGAGTCTCACAGAGTTTCCTGCCTGGGTTGGCTTTGAACCTCAATCCTCAGATCTCAGCCTCCTGACTAGCTAGGATTACAAGTGTGAGCCACCAGCGCCTGGCTAAATAAAGTTTTTGAGTGTTGGAAAGGAAGTAGGCCTGGGTTCCTGAGTCCCCAGGGAGGGGGAGGAGCAGACAGTGGGGCTGGTTACTCCCTTGTGTTCCCTCTCATAGAAAAGTTGTGTTTCTGGCAGGTGTAGGGGCAACCACAGATTTAAGTGAAACAAGCCTAGGCCAAGCCCTCAGAATTCCCAGCCAAAAGGGTGGAGACCCACTCAGCTCCAGATAATAAAGAGAATCAAAGGCAGCACTCAGGGTGTGGAGGCAAAAAACACTACTCTTAGCCCAGTCCAGATGACTCAGCCTCTCTGGACTCAGTTTCCTCATTTCTGAGAGATAGTCATGAAGATTTTTTTGGTATGCATAACACCAGTATTGGATCTTGAACTCAGGGCCTCATGTCCTCCCTTTTATGCAAGGCTTGCACTCTACTATTTCCAACTTTTTGCTGGCTAATTGGAGAGATCTCCTGATTTCATCTACCCTGGCTGGCTTCTTGAGCCTCAATCCTCAGATCTTAGCCTCCTGAAAAGCTAGAATTACAGGCATGAGACGCAAGCACCTGGCTTGGACTGTAATTCCCTGTGTGTGCACATGCACCAGTCCAGGGACTTGAACTCAGGGTCTGGACACTGTCCATTGAGCTTTTTTGCCCAAAGTTAACACTCTACTATATAAAGCCATAGCTCCAGTCCCAGCTTTTTTGCTGGTTAGAAACAAGAGTCTCACAGACTTTCCTGCCTGGGCTGGCTTCAAACCATGATCATCAGATCTTAAGCCTCCTGAGTAGCTAGGATTACAGGCATTAGACACCAGCTAGAGTTTTGTTTTGTTTTTGCTAGTCCTAGGGCTTGAACTCAGGGTCTGGGCACTGCCTTTGAGCTTATTTTGCTCAAGGTTAGCACTCTACCACGTGAGTGATAGCACCACTTCCGGCTTTTTCTGGTTATGCGGTATTGAGGAATCGAATCCAGGGTTTCGTGTATGCTAGGCAAGCACTCTACCACTAAGCCACACTCCCTGCCCCAGCTAGAGATTATTGAGAGAGCTTCTAAAGGGGGGCTGCCCACCCCATCTTCAAAACATGGCTTTGTGAGAACAGTTACTAGCTCTTGAGAGTTTTTGTGAAGGATCCAAGTATAACACACAAAAAATGATCAAGTGGAACGAAGTCTCTTATGAGTCCTGTACTACAGCCAGCTCTAGAGCCTCTGCATAGCCATCACAAGAAGAACTGCAATATAGTGGGCTTAGTTGCCTTGGATAGGTTCAGGAGACAGGGCCAGAGTGCAAAGGAAAGATGCAGTGGTGGATGCAGTGGGCAGAGCCAGACATAGACTCCCAGAGCCACCACCATCCAGCAAAGAAAACCAGAGCCACACTGGGTTTAACTTCTAAACACAGGACTATATTACATTTCGAATTGATACCTCTTCATGTGATATATTTAGGATCAACTACTCAATAGAGAAGTTATAATGATATCCTTGTGCTGATGTCCCCAACCTCCATCCCAGCTTCAGGCACTTGTATTACGAAGAAAGCAGTGGCTGGTGGCAGTCAGGGCTTCAGTCTAAAACCCTCCAGCAGAAGGTCAGACCAGATGGAGAAAGGACATCACTCTCCACCCAGGACCCTCCCTGGGTGAGCAGAGGAAAGGACACACAGTCTCCTTGGGTACCATAGCCGGCTTCAGTATTTCTCAGACCAGTGGACCCTAAGGCATTTCCCCTGTTCCCACTATGGCTCCTCACCCTGCTTCCCAGTCACGCTTGAGATCTTACAAACCAGTTTTGCAGACCTTCGGCCTCCCTCCCCACTTTCTTCTCTGAGCAACTGTGTGGAGAAAGGCTCCTGTGACAAAAGATCTCAGCAGCCCTCAAGTAGGTTTGAAGAACAGGACTTAGATGGCTCCAGTGGCTATTCTCTACCACCATCCAAGCCTGAAAGAAGCCCAGGATAGATATTGCTCTGGATTGGGCCCTATGTTCTACTTTGCTTTCTCTCTTCCCCCACCCCTAATCTAGATAAACAATATATACATGTTACTGAAACATGAAGTTGGAGCAGAGGCTCTGGGTGCAGAGCTCTTCTATCATCCAGAGCTAAGAGGTGCCAAGCCTAGGGAGTGCAGGGTAGAGTCCTGTGAGTCCAGGTGCTGGTGACACGGCTATATGGCTTTTTGGGGTTTAGGAGAGAACAGTTCTGGCTACCTGGCCTAGGATCCTGTGGCAAAGGAGGGAGATGAATCTCTTCATCTTTGAAGGCCCTTCCATGTTCATATTCCCTTTTGACAATAAAAGAAGCTCCTTTCACACATAGACACAACCGTAGCTGCTAAGAGTTGTGTGGAAGGCAGAGACAAAACTTCAGCCTAGTCCTTGCCTGGCCTACCAAGGGCAAGAGTTCTCAGCAACTTGAGCCCCTCAGGTTCCCATACATCCCCAGCTAGAGGCCACCCATCCCTAGGACAGAAAGAAAACTGGACATATTACGTGAGGGTAAGAAGAGGCCTGAGGCCCAGAACCAAGGCCCAGGGCCTAGCCCTCCAGGGAAGGGAAAGGCCAGGGTGTGTGAAATGGGGTGCTTCAGTTGCGATCCCCCACGAGCTGCAACACAAAGGTGAAGATGTAGACGATGTCTGTGTAGATCTGCAAGGCACCCGTGATGTAGTCTTCCGGGCTGATGGTATGCTTCCGGTTCCCCAGGACCAGCTGTGTGTCGTAAGCCAGGAACTGCAGGGACAGGGACAGAAGTGAGTACCCAGTGTCCCGGGGTCCAGAGCTTATTTCTGGTCAGCAGAGTTGTCCTGAGAGCCTGCTTAGGGGACTCATTAAGGACCAGTGTGACACAGGGCTCTGCCCTCAGGCAACTCACTGTCTAGAGAAGATAGACACTTAGCTGTCTCTGAATACAGCCTGTCAAACATGCTAACAGCAAGCAGACAGTGGGATCCTAGAAAATCACTGGACTCCTTTTGCCAGTGGGAAAGGGAACCACCCATTCCTGTCTCTCAAGCCACCTAATTCCATCCCTGTCCCCTCCCAAGCTCCCGGAGGACCCAGGGACTTACCAGGGTGAAACAAATGGCCCCCAAAGCAGCATAGAGCATGTGGAGCCAGTAAATCTGGGGAAGAAGGGTTAGTGTTAGAAATCTGAGCAAAGACAACCAAGGCAGACCCTTGGGACCCGTTGAGCACTTGGGATTTGGGCATGAGTGGGGAGTTTGAGGAAGCTAGCTGTCCAGGAGCCCAGATCAAGCCTTTTTAGGTCCTGGGAGTAATTAAGAATGGTGATATATGTGGCAGAAAAAGCAGAGGCGTCTTACAATGGCCATATAAAACCAGCATAGCATCTTTTAGCCAAACCAATCTTCAGAGCTAGTCAAGGTACAGGCATCTGAGTTACAGCCCTAGTAATGGCGAGCACTCAGTAGACCAGGTAGAGCAGCCTCCTGGTTCCTAAAACCCATCCTGGGAGGGACAGGCTGAAGAAGAGGGGCTCTTTCTCCCCATGGTCAGGACCCATTCTCTCCCTCAGGTGATGAGAATCCAAGAAGGACCCAGAGTGAAGGATTCCAGAAGTCCCTTCCATCTAGGCCCATTTCTTCAGTTCTTTTGTTGACTTTCCCACTGTCTCCCAGAACAGATGGTGGTCTAAGCTATCAGACAGCTAACCCACTGCATAGGAACTCCGTGCCACTGTCTAGGGTTCCAGGTGCCATGGCTCCCAGGGCAACCTGTCTCCAAAGAAAAATGAATTGTATCCTAACTGAAAAAGACAGCACCTTTGCTGGCCAGTAGAGAGGTTCTGGAGGTCAGAGCCTGCCTAGGGGCCAGGGGCCAGGAGGGGCCCTGCTGTACACAGCAAGTCTGCATTGAACACTGGGCCCACAGACCCCATTCCTCTTGGGACACTCACATATTTGAAGTACAGCACAATGCTAGTGACAATCCCAGTCACCATCAGCACAATTCCCAGGACACAGAAGAGGCCTGTACAGGAGGTGAAGTCCACCTACAGGAAGGCAGAAAGAGGCACCATCAGATGACTACCATAACAGCCACACTGGCCCTGCCCCCTGCTGGGGGCCCCGTGCTGACACCTGACCACGACCACGGCGTGCAAAGGACAGACACACGAAGCAGCTGTGTACATGCAGGGGGAGTGGCGGGGAGGGAATTAGGTCTGTAGGATTCTGGGCCCTCCCAGGCCAGCTCAAACCCAAAGGGTATAGAGGAAAGGGGTGGGTGGCTATGGAAGGGCCCTCTGTGCCCTCACCTTGGTCTGAAAGCAGAAGATGGTGACGGAAATGGACACCACTGCTGTGATGATCATCGCAATGATGACGGCTTTGGTTTGATACATACTGCAAGGGGGCCGGGGGCAAGAGGAGGAAGGAGGGAAGAGAGGCCGAAAGTATAAGCTATTAGAAGACTTCAAACTCACTACTTTCAGAAGAACCCTGCCCAGGCTCCACTTCCCACAGATAACTGCCAGCCCAAGAATAGCCCACTCCCCTTACTTCACCCTCCCAAGAGTGTGGCAGGCTGTCCCTGAGCGTACCTGGAAATGGTGCCCGTCATGAAGCCCATGGCAAAAGTCTGAGGGAAAGAGAGAAATAAGGGCATCTCGTAAGAAGGGTAGGGCTGGGGTATAGCTCAGTGGTAAGGGCTTGCCCAGGATGCAGGCACTGGGTTCCATCTCTACCACCAAATTAAAAAAATAATAATAATAAAGCAAAAACAAAACCACACAACAGCGAGGCTCTGGGGGACAGCCATGGTAGTCTGCTAGAGCCAGAGGTGACTCAGATGTGACTGAGCTGGCAAGAGCAGTCACTGAGACCACTAGCAGGAGGCTGGGAGATATCCAGGGTCTTCCTTCCGCAGTGGTGTCCCCGGCCTTATTGGGACCGCCTTCTTGCTACCCTTGTCGACTTACAAAGAGGGTGAGCAGGATGATGTTCCACGGGAACCGGCGTCTAAGGAGAGAGAAGCGTTGGTTATGCGCCTTGGGGCAGTCGGGTCGTAGGTCCCTGGCTCCTGTGCCTGCTTGCAGGAGTAAGCCTAGCTCTTGGAGAGAGGACCTTCACGTGGCTTTTGGCGCCTGCTTAAGGTGTTTACACAGGGGCAACATGGGACACACCTGTCCTGTGGGGCCAGAAAAACTTGGTCTTGTTTGCAGCGCTCGGACTGTCTGCCTGAGGGCTGGGAGGAAGTTGCTCAGCTCAGCCTTCCAAAGCCTTGAGTTCTTCCTGCTTGGGCTTTCTTGGTTTTATTTTTGTACCCTGTACCCTCCCGCCCCTTCCTTTTTTTCCCTTATTCTCTCCTCCCCTACTTTTTTTTTAAACTTTTTTTCTATTTAAGAAGTTAAAATGCTGCATATCCTGCAGGGTTGCTATCAATCAGACTGATAGCTAGATAGATCCCCATAATAGTACTTCCTGCTTTGTACATGAAGCATTAGCCACATCACCCTCAACATCCTTCTAATATTTCTTATGAGTCCATTCAACCACTATGAGAAAACCCATTTTGCCCAAGCTTGGTCCCTGTTCCACCCCTTGCACCCTGCACTGCCTACGTCTGTGGGACTCACCTGGGTCCCTGGCAGCAGGCGAGGGTCAGGTAGGTGACAATGAAAACGGCACTGTGAAGATAGGAGAGAGATGAGCTGCCCTCCTCCCCTCCCAACTAGCCTGGGCATTGCACCCAATGGCTGCTCAGAAGTCTGCAGAAAAGCTATTTAGTTGGAAGAAAAAGGACATCCTCTGTCTCTCTCCATCCCAGCCTGAGGACCCCAGCCTATACCCTTTCCACTCTACAGTCAGGGGCCCTGAGAGCTCTAACACAAGGGTTCAACCAGGAAGGAAGTTTAGGGAGCACCATGCAGTCGCCATTACGGTTTGTCCATCATCCCCCACCCTACCCTGGCATTCTGTGATCCTGCTACTCTTCATCTGGGTGTACTCCTCAGTCTAGGAACCTAGCCCCTACCATGGGGAAGGATGCTCAGAGAGCCTTTTGAGCCTAGCTCTAAGCAAAGCTGGTTAGCTGGAAACCAGGACTGCCAGCCCTCCTCCTCCTCTCCCTCCTTCCTCCCCGAGCAGAGACAGCACATACTTACTAGGACACGTAGTATACTGCCACGTTCCTCCTCACAAATGCACTGACTGGCTCCCTGTGAGCAGGGGAGGATGAGAGAGACACACCATGGCTTCTCTGCCTCGAGGCCCAGGCTATGCAGGCAGCCCAGTGGGGAACCCCGAGATCCCGGGGCCGACTAGAGTAGGCAGAGGGCCCAGAGACTCACACAAAGGTGAAGATCGCAATGATGGCCACTGTGATGAGCAGCTGGACTGAGATGATGGTGTAGACCTGGAATACAGATGGCCAGGAACCTGGGTCAACCCCACCCCCACCCCATACCCTGGGCTCTCCCTAGAAAGCAGCCAGCCCAAGATCAGGAGGTCCAAAGGACACAGGACTCTTGCTCTTCCCTGTGGCAGGAGGGGAGTTTTTCTTTCTGAAGGTTCTGTTCCTCTTGTGGTCACTCAAAGGTTCCTCCTCCATGGCAGCCTGGCCTAGATGTGGCCCCAGCTGGGAGTCTGGTTCACGGCCTCCATCCCCCTCCCTCTCTCCTGTCCAGCATCCAGCCTCAGTTTCCCACTGCCTCACCCTGCCTGGCTGCCCCTGCAACTCCAGTGGTGGCTGTGCACCTTCAGTGTTCAGCACAACAGGCTGTGTGTCTGTTCTGAGCAGGGCTCCATGCAGAGGGAGCAAGGGAAAGATGGATTAGGCATGAGTGGGATCATTTCCAGCTCCCTGCTGCTCTCTGTCTAGCAGAACAAGGTCTGGGGAAGGCCACACACTTGGGAGGAACCCAGGTAGGAGATTTTCCAAGATTGACTCTGCCCTCCCAAAATAAGGTCAAGAATGAGAGGATGGAAAGGAGGGGGCATTAGGGTTAGAGAAGCCAGGAACACCTGTGGAGGACAGTCCAGGACCAAGGGAAGGTGATCAGCCGGTGTATTTACATGTGACTGCGACCCCAGCCCAGGACTGATACATCCAGCCCTCCCCTGTCTCTCCAGTGCAAGGGCATGGGTCCACCCATCGCCCACCATCTTACCTTTCGGATGAAGGTATGTCGTACTTTCCGGTCATCCCACTCTCCAGGCCCGAAGCTGTCACTCACAGCTCTCTCTTCCCCATCATAGCCACCAGGGCCTAGAGACAGATTACATGGGACGGACTGGAGACCTGGGACACAGGGGCTCCCTTCCATGGCCTTGCTGACCCTGCCTCATACAAAGACTCAGGTATCTTCAACCTAAAGACAGACATTACTATGCAAGAACTGCACTCCTAACCTAGGGCTCGCCAGATTCCCTTAGAGCAAGCCCAGCTGGCCTGGCACAAAGGGTCTTAGATGAGAGCCATCCCATGGGCGTCTCTGCTAAGGATTCTGGGTGCCTCACTCAGGCAAGAGCAGAGTTGGTTGGCAGAGCAGTGGCATCTAGGATGGAGGGGCTTGAAAAAGGGGGGGAAACTGCACATTGTGGGTGTGTGCAGGGGATCCAGGGTGAGGGCTGTGGACTACAGCAGACATCCCAGGGCATGCTGCATGACTCACATGTGAGGGCTGTCTTACACCCTGCATCAGAACACCTGTCCAGGTGAGAGCTGCCACACACTGACTCCACGATGCTAGAGCTGCTACAGGCCTCCCACATCCTCAGATGCCTCTTTGGGAACTGCCTGCAGAATCTACCCAGAATGCAGCTCAGAGGTGAAGCACGTGTTTAACATGTACAATACTGGGCTCAATTCAAATGCAAAAAAATAGAAAATTAAAAAATTCCGGGCTCGGGGCTGGGAAGGTGGCTCAATGGTAGAGCGCTTGCCTTGTATGCAGGAGGCCCTGGGTTTGATTCCTCAGTACCACATAAGCAAAAGAAAAAAAAAGCTGGAAGTGGTGCTGTGGCTCAAGTGAGCTGAAGAGCTGAGGGACAGCGCCCAGGCCCAGAGTTCAGGCCCCATGACTGGACCAAAAAAAAAAAAATACTGGGCTCAAGGCATGGCTCAAGTGGTAGAGTACCTGTCTCGCAAGTGTGAAGGTTTGAACTCAAACCCAAGTAGTTACAAAACAAAAATTCCCCCAAGAGAAGAGCATCCTAGTCTCACCTGAGATACCCTGATATATGCCAAAGGTAGTTCTAAATGACTTGGGATAGTTGCAAAACTCGGACTCTACTTCATAGAAGAGGATGCATCCAACCCAAGGACTTTTTATAAAACCAACATTTAGGGGTACAGAAAGAGTTCCTAAGGAAGACATGGCAGGATGACAGGGGACTTGTTGAGAAATATTTACTTAGGTATCCATTTAGACACCATTACTCCATCCAGCTCCCTCCCTGAGGCCATGTGTCTTATGGCCTCAGTCTCCTTGCTCAATACTGGGGAAAGCAAGTGACTAAGGAAGCCAGGAGAGAGAAGTAGAAGGCGAGGGAGACAGGAAATGGAAGGAGATCTAAACCAAGATGAGAAGAAAGGGACCAAAGAGGAAGATGAGAAGGAGACTGAAAGGAGGTGACATCATCAGCCCTAAGCACTGCGTCCTTCCCCTCACCTTCTCCTACCTTCTAGCACTCACCATAGTTCATGGGCATCGGGTGCATAGGAGGCATTGGCTGTGGGTAGCCAGCAGGGTGACCGTAGCCAGGCTGTGGGTAGGCAGGGTAGGCAGGGTATCCGCCTGGCAGAACAGATGGTTGTCCATAGCCTCCAGGGGGTGGAGGGCCAGGATACAGAGGGTTGCGGTCCTCATATGGAGGCGGGGCGGTGGGGTTAGACATGGCCACTCAAGAGGTGAGGGAAACCCCAGCTGCTAGGAGCTGCAATGGAAAGCAAAGCCGTCAGGAGTGTGCCGTGTCTCACCCTGTCCCCTTCCAGGATGTCTACCAAGAAGAGCCCCTGTTCCTAGATCGTACATGTCACTTACTGCCTGAAGGCCACCCCCAGCACCTAACCCCTGGCCCTCCTACCTTTAGACTTTTTTCCCCCCAGAGTCCTCCCTTCCCTGCAAAACTTCTGGCCACAGGAGAGAGGGAGGATTCCTTAGATGAACAGAACTGTAGCTAAGCATCAGTGGTGTGCCAGGCAAGAAAAAGGGTCACCCCACAACTCCCTGTTCTCAGTTATGAAAACCTTTGGGTGTTGGTGGTTTCACAACAGAACCAGGGAAGAAACAGGGAAATGGCTAGATGGTCCAAGCAGAGTCACCTAATGAGGGCCAGGGCTAGCAAGGACCCTCTGGAGGGTCAGCCCAGCCCCCACAGCAGCTGGCTGGAGTGTCAAGCCAGAGAGAGTCAGAGCTGGGGTGGAGCCAAGACTCAAATTGGAGAGCAGGGAGGAGGAAGAGGAAAACAAGCCAGCCATGCCAAAGCTGCCAGGCCCCAGGAGGAGAGGCCCTCCCAGGCCCTGGCCAGGGCAGGCTGAGCTGGAAACTGGAGGCCCTGCAAAAGTGCAGGCCTGAGACAGGACTTTGTGTTTCCCTTAGACAACTGCTGCAGCTTGGCAGATAGTCAGCGGTGGCCTGTGGCCCACGCTCTGTACCCTGGCCTTCCCAGGGCCCTGACAGCCCCCACTGAGGGCATCTCTGGAGTCTCCTCTGGGGCAGTGACTGGTCAGGAGGACAGTAAGCAGAGGCTGTAAGACAAGGAAGGACCTTTGCAGCAAGGAGAGCCCTGTGTGGAAGGCCTGAGAGGCAGCTTCTGCACCTGAACAACCCTGAATGCTCACTTCAGGTGAGAGTTAAAAGCCAGGATCAGGGGACCACACAACTAGCAGGTTAGTAGCACAAACAGAATGAAACTCTTTGGGATTCTGGGCACTTGTCCTTCCTGGTAGTCTGTTCTCCTTAGGCCTCCTCTCTGACAAAGACATGTCCCCTAACATGGTGTCCCCCATGTGAGGTGGCATTCAGTGTCTGGACAGAGCTAAGGAGAATATCCTCCTATCCTGAATAGGAGAAACCTTTCCAGAGTCTGCATCTCTTGACAGGACCACCCCAGCCCCCAGCATCACCCAGAGCAGATCTTGAGGAGCCACAAGGAGGACACCCCAGATTGAGGTCAGCAACCATCCTCAGAGCACTGCTGGAAGCAGGAGCATCTTCTGGCCTCTCTTTTCAGGACACCCAGTGTATTTCAGGGATTAGATAAAGGCCTGTCTTCTGTCTTCTCTCAGGACAACTCGGGTGATTCAGAGTGGGAGGTGGCAAGGATTGAATAGCAGGCCAGGTCTCTGGATGGTTTATTTGGAGGAAAGCTCTCTCCATCTCCCCAGAGCAGATGGGACAGAACGAGAGCAAGACTGCATCAGGTGAGGGAGAAGAAAGCCTTCCTGACAGACAAACCAGGAGAGCATGTGGGGCCACGGTACAGCAGTGTGGCCCCCCAGCTACTAGCTTGGGAAATGGCCATGGCCATGGAAGGCAGAAAGACCACCACAAGTAATTGTAACATGTGGCGCCTCTGAAAAGGAGAAAAGAAAGGAAGAGAAATTGTGCCTCTCCCTTCCCCTGGAGCAAAAGGTTCCACACCAAACCATGATGTAACCATTACCTGGTAACATTTGCCCTTTGTAGACCATGTCCCTCCCTCTTCCAAGACTGATGAGGAAATGTGACTCACAGAGAGTAGGGTCAGCCTGGGATGGGGCTCCAGGGTCCAGCTGAACTCAGCAGGCTGCTGATTCACTGGCCTTCACTGGCCTCCCTCCTTCACTCCCTGGCCCCGCCCTGTGACATTTCTGGTTTCAGAGCTCATCCGTCAGTAGACCTGCTTGCCGGGACACGCAGGCCCCAGTCCACTTCCTTAATGAGTCAGTCACCAGCCCGACCACACCAGAGACCACCACTGAACACCCCACCCCACCATGCCAGGGTAGGTCTTCACCTACAAAATGAACTTGACACTAGTCACTGCAACCCACCCTCCCCCCAGAGTTGTAATTATGAAAGAGAAAATACACACAGAGCACTTAGAATGATGCCTGACTCCAGGCGCATTTTGGCAGCAGTCAGTAAGGACGTCATTAAATCCTCACATGGCCCAGCAGGGTAAATAGTTGTTATTGTCCCCACTCACAAAGAAAGACAGAGACTTGGAAGAATGAAGTCTTGTGGCCAGGGATACCTGACTAGGGTGGAAGAAGAGACTTGGGTCCCACCACTGACACTGGATCCTCTCTGAGTCCCTCTACTTCAGTCTTTCATTGAACTTCCCATCCCTGTTACCATGGCTTCCAGTCTAGACACAGATGATGACTGGCAGGTGCACGCAAGACCAGAGTGCACACCACCCTGTCAGTCCCTGAAGAGTGGGCTCCATTCCCATCTGTGGACCTGAGGTCCAGAGACAAGAGAGTACTCGCTTACCTTTTCCTACTCAATAGCTACAGGACATGGGGTGGTGACCCATCCTTGTAATAGAGCTGGTCCCAGGGCCAGGACACAATCTGAGCTACCTGGTCTTTGGTGCAGGTGGGGAAACCCCTCAGCCGTGAGGGTGCCAACTTCCACCACACGCCTCTGAGCCATGCCAAAATTCAACACTGTTGGACCAGCAGGAGTGGCAGCTTCTGCACCTGCCCCAGCTTCCACCAGGCCTACAAGAGGGGCCTCCCACTTCACACCTCTGCTCAGGCTGAGGGTCAGAGTTGGCATGGCCCAGAGAGGAAGGGAAGGGAAGGGAGCAACTATTTTCCTAGCCATACCTAGACATCAGAGCTGAAGAACAACAGTGGAGAATGGGAAGTCTGGAAAAGGAGACAGGAAAACAGAATATGCGCCTTAAGCCTAGAAATCAGGTCCTCTGGGTTCTCCTGGTAGCTGTGAGGGCCTGTGAGGCACCCAGTGGAAGCCTACATTTTCTGAAAGTACAGGAGGCATTAAGCCTCTACTTGGAACAAATGCCTACAAGCAGTTGGAATCATTACAAGGTTGAGTTCAGGCTCTGCCCTGTCCTGGCAGTTACACATCTCAGTTTGCTCCCCTCTCCCCAGCAATAGAAGTGGGTAGATTCTGGGCCCAAACAGCAGGACTTACTGGTGGACAGAGTTTTTACATGCAGAGCTGGGGGAGCAGCTCCTTACCCCTAGGTACCTCAGTAGGTCTAGCCTGCTGAGATCAGGCTCCCTCTGGTTCTCCAGGCATGTGTGAAGGGTTAAGACTCTGGAATCTGTAGAGAAGAGGAGGAGCTACTGGGATTACAGCAAGAGGGTGTGTGTGTGCTGGGACTTGGAGGGGGGGGGGGAAGAAGTGGAGAGGACAGAAAGAAGCAGCTGACTGGTCCAGGCAGCCTGCCCTCCTGCCTGCCAGGAACCGATGCCCAGAGCAGAATGGAAAGAATAGCTCAAAGTGTGCATCGCAGGAAGCCCCACCCAGCAGGCTCAGCAACACACCCGACCCACAGTGCCCAGGTCCCCAGGACTAGCTCTTTCCCTCCCTTTTCCTCCCCACTGCACAGCCACAGGAGCAGAGGAATGAAAGACATACACTGCAGTGTCTAGGCCCGCCTGGACCAAGGGGCTCAGAATGTACTCCATACCCTTTGGTTGGCCTGTCTGGAACTAAGAAATGAAATTAAGCAGGCCTAAAAACTGAAATATAGGGGCTGGGAAGGTGGCTCAGTAGAGCGCTTGCCTTGCATGCTTGAGGCCCTGGGTTCGATTCCTCAGCACCACATAAGCAAAAAGAAAAAAGCCGGAAGTGGTGCTGTGGCTCAAGTGGTAGAGTGCTAGCCTTGAGC